TATGTTGTTCTTTGCCATCTTTCCTTTCCAAGTCCTTTTCCCTCTTTTCGCCATCGTTCTTCTGTGGCGAGTGATCTTTTTGAATATGATGGTGCTCTCGATCTCGATGCTTATGTCGATGATTCTGAAAAGAGAAATATACGAAGTGTTGCGAGGAAAAAAGCTCAATATTTTCAGCCGAGCGCGGAGAGATGAAAACCAATTCACAGTTAAAATGTCAATAGAACTGTTTCCAATTGAAAAAGATCAGTGCAAAAAGAATGCATGGATAGATAACATTCGCATGCCTTTTTACATACTGTTAAGCTTCTATGTCAAACATTGGCTGAATGGATTGATTATAATACATCTGCCAATTGATAATGGAAGAAAAACAGTTCCTATATGTTAGCCTCTTCTCAGCTATCATAGGAAACTTTTAGGAAGCAAATGAAAAAGTTGTCACCATTGCACAAAGTTCTCGATACTTCTGCAACATCTCCATTGGCTCCTGAGACACAAACTTTGATAGGAAAATCCACATATAGTTATACCATTTACGAATATTTGTCTTTGGCTTCCTAAAGTGAAAGGGTAGTTGATTACATATAGCGGAAAAAGAAACGAACTTTTTGAGCATCTCATCCAACTGATCACGACAGTTGTCACCTAATCGCATTAGGTACTTGGCCGCCTCTTTTTCATTACCAGCCTCAGTAAGCTTTTTGATATATTTCTGCACTGGTCGCATCATTTTCACACATTCTAAAAGAAGTTTGCATTGAAGTGTAGATTCAGCAATATGAATTCCGGAAAAAACACTGACCAGAAAACGGCCGATCGCTCGTATTCTCAAGAGCTTGCCCATAGATAGACTTTTCAATCAGCACTAAAGCCAACTGATCTGTAAGCGTCTTGTCACGAGTGGCTGTTGCAGTTTTAACCTGTATAGCGTGATGATGATGATGTTTGTGTTCCTTTTCTCGCCGCTTCTAGAACAAAAAAAATTACACAATTCATCAGATTAATGGAATCATCCCACCTTTTCGTCGACTGGCCCCGATTTCCCATCACTGTTTGGTGCTTTTCGCTTACGGTTCAAAGTGGCCTTCTGACTGTTCATGCCGTTTAGTGATTTGTCCATCATCTTAAGCAGGTAATCAACTCGCTGTTGAAGGTGACGAGGCTGCGGTTTTCGGACCTGAAATGTGTATAGTTTACTGAAAGACTCATGTACATGTTTCTTACAGAGCATTCCTCTGTACCTTGTCTTTCAAGAAAATCTTATCTGCCAGCCCAAGTTCGGGGTCCATTTTGATCGCCTCCCAACTTCCCAATCCGTATTTATAAACACCTCGCAACAAGGCTGTATCGTCTACAGATGTCCATTCAACATCCCAACCCTGTAGCGACAAGTATGAGTACGAGAATAGGAGGCTATAAAGAAAAGAAAAATGAGCAGCAAACCTTCTGAGGGCGAGCTTTGTAAGGAGATCTGAACTCGGT